TGTATAAAAAATATTTTTTTTTGGTATTGGAAAAAAAAAAAAAAAAAAAGAGATGAAGTGTTTGCAGTCATAAATATTTTCAAATAACTTTCAACTAGGTTTCAAAAACTCTGAAGAATACTACAACATTGAAGGCTAATTTTTTTTTCTAATTCATAATCTTTTGCATATATAGACTGTATAAAAAATATTTCTTTTTGGTATTGGAAAAAAAAAAAAAAGAGATGAAGTGTTTGCAGTCATAAATATTTTCAAATAACTTTCAACTAGGTTTCAAAAACTCTGAAGAATACTACAACATTGAAGGCTCAGTGGGCAGCCGTGTGGCCCAACAACTTCAGAAAGGTGATGCCATCCGAATTGGGATCAATGGTGTTCTGATGTCACAGGATTTAAAGGTGAGACTTAATCATGTATGCATTTTCGCCCCTTTAGGCCGCATACTTGAGTGAGAAATGTTTTAAATAATCAAATTACAATAAATGGACATCATTCAAATAAATGAGCTGGAGATTGTCATGCTTCCAGGTTAGAAAGAGATCAAAACTTAGCACGCATCAGGAGCCAGGCGAAAAGAAGGAAACGGAACAAATAGAAAAAGCTGGTCAACACAAACTTGGACCTGAAGACAAGAGTCAGCAGGAGTCAGCCGAGAGAGACAAGAATCATGAGTTTGAAAATTTTGAGTAAGCGCACCACAAAAAAAAAAAAGGATTTGTCTCTAACTTGATCTAGATCTATTTATTTTTGTTTAATTTATTGAAAAGTTGAATAATTGCTGCAGTGTTGGGATAGTTTTTGTTTTTTTACTTCTTCAAATAGCAGAAAGTGTTTAACATTCATTGTTCTTGGCTCAAGAGAAACACTTAGGCAGAGGGTCTGTTTTCAAAGTTAACAAATAAAAACAAAATTATGATAAAACAGTAGCAGAAGTAGGTGTATTTTTTTTTGGTTACAACTTTGGACACTTCTGAAATAAGAACATACAATTTCACACACAAAAAAAACAAATAATAATATAAGCCAATCAGGCATTGTTACCTGGGATTAGCATTTTTACACTTAAAATGTGTTTCCTAGCATGGAACTGGCTAAGAGAATTTATCTCAAAATAATATCTCTCATAACAGACTTGATTCACTGGAAGATTCTCTAGAGGATACAATGGAGGTGGAAAAAATTTCTGGTGCTAGAAAATCTTCATTCTTGTCCTCTGCACTTGTTGAGGACATGGAGAAAAAACTAATTATGCTCAATGAGGCGCCAAAATCAATTCCCCTAAGCTGGGAGGATCAGTGCTCCAAGCCAGATGTCAAGGTCATTCACCCAAAAGTCCTCCCACAAAATGTGACCAAACATGTAAGTAGAGCAAACATTTAAGTAGAGCAAACACTTAGACAAGTCTGGAATAATCAGATTGATTCAGAAAAATATTTTTGAAAAAGTATGTGGAAGAAAAAAAATGTGCTTTTTAAAAAAAAAATTAAGCGTTTAGTGTTTACTTTTTTGTTTTGCTGCATTTTAAAACTAACAAAAATATGTTTACTACTTGTTACACTAGGTGGTGTCTGAGACTCAGCCAGTGAAGTTTGAGAAACAGACCTATAAAAGTGAGAGACAAGAATTTCCCCAGAGTCACACTGTTGGCTATAAAATAAAACAAAGAACGCCAAATGTAAGCTTTAACTTGTAAACAAATCATGCAGAATAAAATTATAAAATGATAAATTAATTCTCCAATTTTTTAAAATTTTAACTAGATTATGTAGCAACCACCTATTGTCTAAGACTGTAAAGCAACATGAAATATTAATTTTTTTTCATTTAATAAATTTGATTCAGATAATTTGAAATAAAGATTATGTGAAAATACATTTCTGAAAAAAATGTGAATTTGGCTTGAATTTAGAAAATTATTCCAAAAACAAAATTATATATTAATTCTTCACAATGTTTTATGAAACTAGATTATGTAGCAACCATTTATTTTCTGTGACTGGAAAGCCTTATGAAATATTAATTTTTTTTCATTTAATAAATTTGATTCAAATAACTTGAAACAAAGTTATCTATAAAGACATTTCTAAAAAAATGGGACTTTGACTTGAACGTTGGAAACGACTAAAAAAACTTAAAATCTACTTCTAATAAAGGAGATCATGATTATCTGTAATCACTTTAATTATAAATTTAAAAAAAAAAGATTCAGATGCTGTAAATTTAAGTAAAATGCACTCAATGTTTTATCATTTATTTACGTGATGTGTTTCACTGATAAGATTATTAACTTAACTCTTACTGGTATTAATTTTTTAAAATAACCTTTTTTTACAGAGCCTACAAAATAATCAAAATAATTCAGGAAAGGTGAAGGTTGTTTACATTGATCCCTTAACCCAAGAAGAAGATGAGAGGATCAAAGGAATGTCAGTAGATGAGATTGTCAACTTTAAATTGGAACGTTCAAGTAGAGAATCTACAGCAGTGACCATACGTCGAAGCTTACAAGGACATAATAATGGTAATGCGTCCAAGGAGGAGCCTCTGAACAGTTCTAATGAGCAGACGTCAAGTTTGAAACGAGGTGGATCCAGAGGTAGTCGACCTTCTTCAAATTCAAGCCAGAGTAGTGATCCTGGACGGGTGCTCAGCCCTAAACTGAAAACAGTTCCAGTCCACCCTTCTTCAATGCAAGCAGTTACAGATGATTTAAGAATCTCCACTAAGAACCCCAGTCAAACCAACGAAATGTCTCGTGTGGGTAAAGCCCATGGAAAACTCAGCCCTGCCAAACCATTACATCGTAGCGGAGCAGGCCAGGGAAGCAGCATCAAATCTGGCCCTCTACCGGGAGATGCCGAATTCATAAAAATCACTGCACAGTTGAAGGTTACTCCAGGCAGTCCTACGCCATCATCTGCCCAGCCTGGAACCCTTTTTTCCCCCTACCACTTTTCGCCAGGCAGCAACACGCCAAGAGATCCGGACTACATGGTTGACTTGGATATATCTGGGAGAAGTCTGGCTTTAAGCCCTCCTCCTCAGAGCAACCACAGCAGAGAGGTTCCACAGCAGGAAACGGATCCTTCATCACCAAAAGTGCTGGAGTTAGATTTTAAAAAGGATCAAATTGAGGCTGAACCCTCAACCCGGATCAATGAGTCGGCGGTTTCACGTGTCAGTGATGTGACACTCGAAGTGACCGCTCACCCAACTACTCTCCTAGCCATAAGTATTCCCACTGCTGATGAGCTATCGGACAGAGAATCTCCTTCTCATTCCCCATCTCACTTTGATGATGCTAGTGGGGGTCAGTAACATGGACATCTTGATTCAGCTGTGGGAGATGCAGGGTGTTCTTTTTCAGAGAAAATGAAAATGTGATAAAAAAAAATTAATACTTAGTAACAACTCAATTGCATGACCCCCTGGCCTGACTTAAGAAGCCTATTTTGGGGACACGTTTCTGTTACTAGACAAAAGCATATGGACACTGCTGTTGAGTTGAAATAGATCTTTCAAACACCCTATACGTTCCATCAGGATCCACAGCCCTCTACTACATGCAACTAGTTGTACAAGTCAGCAATAATTGTTTATTTTACACATAATCACTTGGAATTCTATTTTTTTTTAAATGTCAGTCAAGGTGATATGACATTTTGCAGGAAATTTTTTACACGTTTTCATTTGGCATAGGTTTATTTCAATGTATGACATGTTTGGTACAATATTTTAAAATATAAAAACTGGTGCTGATGTAAAATTTATTTATGTTTTAGTTACAAATCTCAAGATATTGTGAAAAAAATATTGAATGAATGAAACATCCCACTGGTGGGAATACAGTTAGTTGTCTGATAACTTTCAAGATTGACTGGGCAGTTGTACCCAGAGCTGTGCAGAGGCTGATGCAACCGAGGTCCTACCCGTTGGTGGCCCACCAAGGGGCCAAATAAAAACGTTTGATAACAATTTGAAATTGTGGGGGGGGCCCAAAAGATGGATTTGCTTGGGGCCCGAAAATCCTCCTCACGCCCCTGGTTGTAAAGAAACACTTAATTTAAGCCTTTAATTAAATCTTGGAAAGTAATTTAATGAAGATAATTATTTTTCAAAGGTCTGTCCCATTTCCAATCAGTTTGATGATTCTCCTAGATATCACCTGCATATGTTACAAAGTGTTGTGTTTATTCAAAGAGTTCCTGTTCAAAAATAATAATTCAACTTGATCTTTACATTTGACACAAAACATATACAATGAATTTAAGGATGTGTCTCGATAATCCTCACATTATCTTATTTAAATTTCAGTACTGCATGTTTATTTATGATAATTCTTTTCTTAAGTCCATTGTATTATATAAGTGTGTAAATATTATTTAACTGTTTTAACTTCTTTCTTAAAATCAAATCAATATTATTTTTCCCCTGCCCTAAAAATTACATTTACTTCTCTGGGTGAGAATGGTCTCAATTATTAATAATCAAATTATGAGGTAAGTGTCAACAGTTTACAATCTTTCTTTTCAAAAAAAAATTTATGATTTAAGAGACATGAAGGATTTAAAGATACGAATGGTAGTGGGTACAATGAACAGACTGCAAGTAGATAAAAGAAGTTATAGTGCACCATTAAGTACAATTAAATAGGTTCCTTTAATAAGTGATAAATAAATCTGAAACTCTGAATCACTTTATCAAGGTTGATTCCTAAAAATGTTAATGATCTGAAAATCCAGCTACACATTTAATTTTAATGTACTAATCCTTTGATGTGACCTGTAGATAATCTTTTTTTTTTTTTTCAAATTCCAAAAACCTAGGATTTTTTTAATTAGATTGAGAAACTCAGTTGGTATATTATTATGTTTACTTTTTTTCTTAATTTTTTTTTTTTTTCTAGACATAACTAGGTAATGTGTGATTTTTATGTTTCAAGTTCCATTTTCATAATGTTTGTAAAGAAAAAAATGTTAATAATATGAAAATCCAGCTAAACATTTAATTTTAATGTACTAATCCTTTGATTTTACCTGTAGATAATCTTTTTTTTTTTTTTCAAATTCCAAAAACCTAGGATTTTTTTAATTAGATTGAGAAACTCAGTTGGTATATTATTATGTTTACTTTTTTTCTTAATTTTTTTTTTTTTACTAGACATAACTAGGTAATGTGTGATTTTGATGTTTCAAGTTCCATTTGCATAATGTTTGTAAAGATGAACATTTGATCTTCTGTATTGCTATGTTCATGTATGCACAGTCATTTATTACTTTTTTGTTACTTTTTTATTTCTAGAATAAAATTTTATTTGTGTTTTGTTAGGTGCAGTGTGAGCAGCAAACAATAAGACATAAGAGAATTTAAAAAATGGTGGAACCTGAAAAAAAGAATGCTTTGTAAAAAAAAAATAATAATTTATAAACAATTTTTTATAAAATAACCTTAGAATAACTATAATTTTTAATATAAAACTCTGTGAAAGAAATAAACTATTTCAATATGATTTTTAAAAATGCAATAGAAATTCATAACAAAAATTTCAACAGATATTGTTACTGTATTTATTGTAATAAATCAAATCCAGTATTATAATAAACTAGTTATAGCCCGCCAAACATTGGCGACAGCAATGCATGAACTTCCCATCTAGTAAAGTTACTTGACAAAACATGAACTCAAGTAATGCACATTTAAAAGAATCCCAATATTTGCTACACCCCTTCCACCATGATACGTCAATGCACACTTTTTATTTCACGCCCTTGAACTATATTAATATTCTCATGTCCCAACCCCTTTAAAACTGAATATTTTTTACACAACACTTAAATTGAGACGATTTATTTCTGAAAAGAAAATATTAAGCACCAAACGCAATTGCGTTACTAAAAAAAAATATATATCATATATAGCGTAGTTATCGGGAATTATATTTTGCGGGCTAGTGAACTCATTGAACCACACTCTGGCGTATCTATAAATAGCCTTGTTTGACCCGTCTTGTTTGGCTTTTGCTGGCGAATAATATATATAGATTTGTTTAATAAATGCATTATCAGTTTCAACATCACAATTTTTTCCATGTAAAAAAACATGCTGAAATATACATATTTTATATGCATGTTCTTTTGTATTTAAAAAAGAAAAGTGAAATCAGTTTTTTTTTCGTTTTTTGTAATGAATGAACTATTTGCACTAACAATACTGGGTGAAACCAGCAGTAATAATAAATAAGGCATGCAGTCCAAAATTTTGTTAAAATTATTAACAACAGTTGCATAACTAAAATAAAACATTAACAGGATGAATGTTGAGTGACCTTAACACTTTTTAATTTTGAAATTTACATATGAAATAAAGTGAAAAGTTTCTGCCGTGACTACGTGGCTCCCTCATCGCTATTATCATCAGGCATGTCGTCAGACTTTTTACTTTTCTCCAACTTAGACATCAGTTCTAAAAGAGAAAGTTTTTTAATCCAATTTAATGGTCACTGACCCCGTAAACCAAAACAATGGTGACTTTTAATTTTAAGAAGTTTTAGTTGATTTACAAGTCCTAAGTAGATTTGTGGGTAATTGACTGAATTTTTTTATTTACCAACCCTCCAAAGATTTCAGTGTGGTATCAACACTGACAGACTGAGGCTACCTTTTTTTTTTTTCCTTTCTAAAACATTCAAACTCAATGAAATTTGTTAAAGAAAATAATTTTACCAAATTGTAACATGACTTTGTTAATCTATTGATATTTATGGGAGAGTGGTTAAATTTGAGGAAAAAAAAGAATATTTCTCATCCGACGCCCTTGTAGGAAAGTAACGGTAATACCGCTACTCACGATCCAATGAATCTAACAAATACCATTATAATACCACGTATAACAAGATCCACATATAATGCCAACCCTTGATTTTTTGTAAAAATCCCTAAAATGCCATAGCTACGTATGAGATTTGTTAACTTGTCCACAATAATACAATACAAGTGAAGGCTAAATAAATATTTTATTAAAAGTTTAAAAGTTCTTTGAATTATTGTACCGGTCATGTTTAAAATTAAAAGTTGTTGATAAGATGCGTGCTTACTCGCCAAATGTGAGGGGGCCAAGATTTGGTTGCATGGGCTTTAAGATTTAGTATCAAAGTACGCTTACGGTAAAAAGTCTTGTTACAGGAGTGTATAATGCAAACCCCCACTTTAAAGGATAATTTTTTAACCCAAAATTCCTCAAGGCAGTCATTTTCAAAAGTGAAAGGATTATTCTCAACAAAACAAACTTTTTCACTAACCTTTGGCTGGATTGAAAATTCCACCAGTGGGTTCACTACACACAAAGCACCGCTTGGACTTTTTGTAATGCTCCAAGGCACATTTCTCACAGTAATAGTGTTTACACCTGAAATGCAAAAGTCACTACTGCAGTGCAATAATCAGAAACAGAAAGCTACGTTTTAAACATTTAAGAAAGTAAATTTAAAAAAAAATTAATTAAAAAAGGTTTACTAGATTAGTTATTTATTCTGACCACATATAAATCTGCTGGATAGAAGTATCATATGCCCCCTCCCACTTTTACAATTTTTTATTTTTGTAATTTAAAAAAAAATTAAGATCATGAAAACTCATTTGAACTTGAACCCCAACTGTTTCTGCTAAAGCAAATCTTTGCAAGATGCATCCAATATATCATATTATATTGTCAAGTATTCCCTTCTTTATTAAGAAGTATAGTACGTGTGAGAAAAGGATTGAGAGTAAGCTGGAAATCTCATGAATGTCATTCTACGTAAAGTTCTGGCTTAAAAATCCATACAAAAAAAAATATTTACAAGCACAGTTAAGATTTGTGTTATTTACATCATTAAAAAAAAAATGCATTTACCGAATGCCCCTTTTCATTAGCCCCTGTAAAGACATCCTCTTCTTACATCCTGGACTGATGGCTTACAATTTGACACCCTCAAATAATTAAATAAATGATACGTATTTGTATTCTTACTTTGTGACAACAGGGTCCTTGAAAGAATTTCTACAGATAAAACACTTGAATGGGAAATCCTCCTCATCGCTGCTTATCTCATAATTCTGCTCATCTGAAAACATCAATTTTTATTTTAAATTGTTTTTCAAATAAAAAAAAACCACAGTGAATACTCGAAAACGCAAATTCAACCATGCTAAAACACTTCTGAGAGAGTTGCATTGGCTGACGGTCCGCACTCGCATAGAGTACAAAATTGCAACTCTGTGCTACCGCTGCTTGCATGACCTGGCACCATCCTATCTCAAAGTGCTCCTTATGCCTTATGTACTCACTAGACAACTCCGCTCATCTGATAGTGGCAAACTCTCGATACCATGTGTTCGGCTTGATACTTATTGAGGGGCGCACTTTCGCATTTTCTGGCCCAACAATTTTGAACACTCTTCCTATCGCTATCAGAAACAGCCAGACACTGGAGTCTTTCAAAACTGATTTGAAGACTTACCTTTTTGCAAACATCTGCTGGGGTGATGTTGTCTAGCTAGCAATTATCTTTTAGATATATATGGGGATGAAGCGTGATTTTTAAATAATCTTTATTATTATTATTATGTAAAGTGTTCAATTGAATGCAGGTACAATGCATAAAACTCAACAGGGACAAACAAAAGAATAACACTGAATTTTACCATTGTTGCTGAGCTGCTAACAAATTTATGTGATATTTATATGCAAGTGAGAATGTGACACACATCAGAGGCTAATTGGGGAATTAATCCTTGGGAATTTTTTGTTGTTGGTTAGAAGAACAATAAGAGAAGTTCACAAAAACTTGGAGCACTATAACTAAATGCTACTTTGTTGAACAGACATGAGGTGATTTCTGAAGTAAACAATGTCAACAACGATTTGCTAAACTATTAGCCACTTTTTAGCTTTCTACTATCTGACATATTGGTAAACCAGTAAGGAATATAGACATACTTTTTATCAGCAACCATAATCCCCAAGAATTTTTAATATTTAAATTTATCTCTAATTCTATATGAAACACAATAATGAAATCAGGTTAATTATACTGAAAGAGAAATGTAAGGCAAAATTTCAAAAATCAATTCTAAAAGTTTATGAACAAATAGGAACCAAGACAAGCAGAAGAAGAATCTCTCTCAGACAAACCTTTTTGTCCGTAAGTCCCTTGTTCCATTTCACGCTCCAGTTGCCAGCCATGCTTGTAATCCGATCGGTCATGAAGAAATTTACACGAGTCTAAAAAAAAGTAGTGAAATTAAAACAAAATAACCTTGCAAAAATTTTTTTAGACTAAGTGGCTATATTTATTAAAAAGAAAATAATTAAACAATTGAAATTGAATTAATGTATAATTTTTAATTCATTATTTAATTAATATAGATGACATTTGCAGCTGTAAATGTCTTAAAAACGACATATTTGCAGTAGCCTGAATTACAATCATACTCAAAGGTATGAAATAAGTGTTATTTAGAGTGCTTCATGTGTCTTAAATTATATTTCTAGCAGACGCAGACCTAATGATGCTGCTAGATGTTTAAAAAAATAATATGGTCAATTAAATTGTCAACTTTACCTCCAAAGCCACAGAACCCTGTTTCCTTGTAGTCTTTACAAATATCTGGTTGATAATCCCATCTAACTGTGGACCTGAGGTGGGCTGGTGCTCTCAGTGGACCATACCTGACAAATAGTTTGCAGTGTTACATCCTAGTTGAGTCTAAGTTATGATGTGAGCTCAAAGGCAAATTTAAAGTTTTATAATTTTGTTCAGTTACTTATCCCACAACGCAGATTGACCAAGAGCTGTTAATCACCTGCTCTTCCCACTTTCTGCATTGCCTTGAACAGAATCTTTCTTTTCATAGTACTGATGGTAGTTATTGATACCTCTATAAATCTTGTCATCTTCTTTGTCTTTCAATTCCTGCAACATCAAACAGAGTAATTGATAATGAATGGTTCAAGTTCAATAACAAATTAATCTATTTTATAACTACTTACAGTGAGGTTTTACTTTTTTCAGTTTAAAGCCATGGAAAAAATACAGGGCAATTTATTATGATATTTAAACCACACCAACTACTTCAAAAATTCAATATTTGATTGAATGTCTTGGGATCTCTCATTTTCCTAACAAAAAGGATTTCAAATTTTGATTGAAAAGGACAATATTTTATAGACCAATAGTTTTATCATAATTCAATATTGAGACTTTAAGGAGAAGCACCTTCTGAAGTTGTAAGCTTCTTTCAAGTATGGCTTGTGAATCTCTATCAGCTTGAGTGTCTATCTCAACAACAGATGTTGCGCCCATGTCATCTGGTCCTTCCCGTTTCTGGAAATATTTTAAATGTAAGTTATTAGGCAATATTTCAACATCATATTTATATCTTTTTTATGTCCTGATATAAATTAATTTTATTTTTAGATAATGAATTAAATAAATTTATGCATGATAGAAGTAATGAAAACTAATGATTAAATCACATTACCAGTTCTTTCACAAGGGACAATTTATGTTGATCAATTTTGGGCCATACATTTTATGCATAATTAAAGAGTCTGGTTGAAGGAGTGTTATCAAAATGTTTTAAGAATAAAAAAGAAAAAAAAAGAAAGACATTTACAATATATATACCTACCCCTGATCTTGAAGATTTATAATTAACATTTATACTTGATGATTCATCTATGTCACTGTCTCCTTCACTTGAAGAGCTATGGTTTACACCACTTGACGCTAGTTTAATTCTCTTTGTCTGAAAATAATGTTTACAATTTGTTCTGATACTTTATTTCCAGGTCACATAGGGGGTGGGGGGCAAAAAGGAGAATTTGTAACTTAAAATCTATATTCTTGGACTTTAGATTATGTTTTAGTAGCGACAATGAAAACTCTAAAATGAAAATATGATAAATTGGAAGAAGTCTCACTGATTGAACCATGGGATTGTTTTTCTTCTTGTTTGCTGCCTGTCGTATTGCCACATTTCCATCATCGCTGTCACTTTTTCCAGAATCATCTGTCAAAACAGCAATTTTTTGCAAAAAAAAAAAATATAATAAGAAGATATGAAATAATAATATTGTGATGTCAAAATGGTGGATTAAATATATCATCAGTAAATCAACATGCTAACTTATGTAGGTTAAATAATATTAAGAGATCCTTAAACACACAGCCACAATTTTCAACAAAAGAGTCAATAGATTCTGGAGACAAATTGGCCAAGATTCTTTCTAAAGTATAATACAGATAGAACTGCAATCAATTTGAAGTAATCGGATATATTATTAATATAAATTACAGAGTAAGAAGATCCTGATAAAAAAAAAGAAAGAAGGATGAAACAAAATGAACGTGTCGGCGAACAAAACAGTACCAATAAGTTCTCCATCACTGGAACCCAATACTTATGTATACTTAAACTATAATTTAGGCTTAGGAAATAAATTATATTGAGATCCATATGTGGGATTAGGCATTCTCACATTTTAACTAATTTAAGCCAATGGTAATATTTTAGTATATATCATAATGTACATGTTATCTCCCCTTCAGAAATGACTAAAAAACAAAATTCAAGCCTCTTATTATGATAATTATATTTAGCAGGGCCAATTCATGAATGACGCCATGCATCTATGGTAGGTTCAAGGATTTGTGAACAATGTCTTTTAAGGGTTTTTAAAATTTTGAGACAAATTTGTGAGGGAAAAATGGGGTGTAGGGACAAATTAGTTTCATATCTTTTTCGGAATTCCCCTTAGCCCATAGGCCTCTTTTTGATTTCCAAGTTTACTTTTATTTATTACTTTAATAAAGCATTTGCAATTTATCTATGTAAGGAAACACATCCTCCTAAAAATAATACTGGTTTGGGACTACTTATTCCGCATATGACTAATTAATTAAAGCTTTCCCTGACCAATGATTTAATAGTGTTTGCAATCTCTTCTATATAAAACTATGAGACTGATACTCAGATGCAGATGCAAAGGACTGGGAATAGACATGGTTGCTCAACGGCACTGTGCACTCATTACAAGGCAAATAATGCTTATTTATAATATGGACTCTACCAGGTTTTTAAACCTCAAATTAAAATATTCTTGTTTAAATGCCTTCTAAATTCATTCTAAAACACAAGTTATCAAGTATTTTGATGTAAATAGTGGTAAGAATTGAATAATTCCTAAGCATCAGCATCTTTCACAATTAAAAAAGGTTGTGGTCACATTAAAGTAGGTACTTTGACACAAAATTTAAATATTGTCTGATTGCAATGAATGATACATCATTTTAAAGGGCTATCTATAAGATTTATAACAACACCAATTTCATCTTTCTATCTTTTATAGAAGTGGAGTTATGAATTTTTTAGTCAAATTTTTTATGCCCCTTATATAATCTATATATTTTACCCCCAAAATGTGTGACCCAAATTTCACATTTCTGCATAATTTTGCCCACAACATTTTTATTTTTAAAGATAAATTTTCAGGAGACATTCCTAATCTAATAACCAACATAACAAACAATATAAATTTTACATTACATCAAGACTTTTTATTTTGGATAATTTTATTCCAGGTATGTTGAGAAAATCATGTGCAAAAAAATTTGGAAAAATTATTATTTTTAAAGGCAAAAACAAAAAAATTACATGTTGATTGTATTTAAACTAAATGTATGATTCAGTTATATTGCAATTAAATTCTTATCTTTATAAAAGGTAAGTAGAAGTCTTTTTTACTACAAAATTAAATGCATGAAATTATAAAAACTATTCAAATAAACCATCACGACACTAAGATATGAGCATACCGTGGCATACGGGTATGTGATTAAATTTTAAAAGGGAATGGGGCTGTTCTGCCTATCATTTTTTATGTAGACTCCTTCAATGTAAAATTTACAGACTTCTTGGTCTTGTTGATGAATCACAAAATTTCTCCTTCATAAACTTTGTCTTGAGTCTTAGCCATTCTCGTCCATAATGTCCATATATGCCTTACTGTTGATGGAAGTGGAATAAATTCCACAAAGATCTTCTCTTCAATAGAAAATTAAAAATTTTCCCTTGTATCTGAAAGATGACTAAAAATAACATCTAATCATAATCCTTAATATTCACCATTTCTTGTTTCTTTTTAATAATATTCATTTTATGTGGTGATTAAAACTAAATTCTTTTTTTTTTAAATATTAAATTTATTGTAATTTGATATATTAAATAATTGTTTATGTAAACTGCTTTTCTATGTCCTAATAAAAAAAGTATTACTATGATGAGGATGTAGTATCAGAATGCTATATTAACTTAACAATAATATAAAATTCATAATTAAATTAAAAAATTACTAACTTTAATTAGGCTTGCAACTGCAAATGTGATGAAATTTAGATACTATGCCTAAATAGACTTACTTAATAGGATTACCAGTAAAATAACTTATTGTATGCCTAATTTTTGCAATAGTCTCCCATATGAATAGTAATTTATAAGAGAATAACAATTATTATTATTACTATTATTTAACAATTAATTATTCATTCAATAATGAAGAACGGTGGTAGATCTAGAACGGATAAATTTGGTACCTGGTGAACAAAACTATTTAAATTTAACTGTAATTTATAAACTAAAAAGCAATCCATAGACCCAAAACTTTTCAAGTTTGGTTAAAATCTTTCCTTATTTATAAAAAAAAAAGTATTCATGTAAAACGTATTAGAATTATTCAGATGATTAGGGAATAAACAAAAAAGGATCACTGCATAATTGACAGTAATAATAGCAATTTCCGGCAACTCGATCGCATAAAATTTACTTTCGATTCAGCGACATTTTCATACCCCCCACCTGCACTTTTGGGGGAGGCATAACTTTTCAAGGAGACGCCGATTTTAATAATTTTAATATGTTAATACTCACGAATGAAAGTAGTTTCTAAAGCGCTAAACATCTTTCTAAATCCATAAATAACAAAAAAGTATTATGTGATAAACTTACCGAATGGTTACGATGTTCCTGTCCGTGACCCAAAAAAAACCAACTCGTAGTATAAATTTAATATAATCACCGGAGCCGGAACACAAAAACTGATACGTCACTGATGAGGAAAGCAATTATTTAATAAACAAAGGTGACGTAGTATGCAATTTTCCAAAGATACCGTGTAGCTCTACGCCATATTGTAGAACAAGTTTTTTCGACATTTTTGGACATGCGCAGATCGGTGCGTCAACTAGTTTTAAAGTACGTACATTAAAGGGAAGTTGGGCACAGCAATAGGAAATACTGCTCATTCGAAGAAGCAGTGTCTCTAGTAAAACACATAACGCTATGAAAATTGGCACACATGTTAGATACTTCGGTAAGTCAAGGGAGACTACTACTTATTGTGTATGGGATTTCGCAATCGGCGCCAAAAAATCAGAGTTTTTAATTTTCCGATGTGTGTGTCTATTTATTATTAAATTAGTACTTTCGATATATATTTGAGTTCCGTTTTCGGCCTTATAATTAGGTAGACATCTTGGCCTACATTTTAATCAATTACTTATTTCATTTACCATCAGTCAGCTTTGAGAAAATCCTTGGTAAATATAAGGCAACTTTCATCATTAAAATTAAGTCGAAGGAAAAAATTTGTCACTACCAAATTTTTTTTGCATCTGGGGAATCTATTGATCTACACGTATGCCAATTTTCACAGCGATAAGTGTCTTACGAGAGACGCCATGTTTCTACGCGTTCGCAGCAGGTCATGCAGCTCGCTCAACCTAATTTCGCCATGGGGTTGGCCACGCCCCCCTTTTTAATGGCGGAAGTTGCCGATACTTAGGAAATATTAATTTATTATCACTATTTACATCAAAATAATTGATAACTTGTGTTTCAGAATGCATTTTAAAGACATTTAAACTGGAATGTTTTAATTTGAGCTTTAACAACCCGGTAGAATCCATATTATAAATGATCAGAATTTACCGTGTGCAACACGTTGTCATTGGCAACCATTCACAGCCACTTGCATAACTGTATCGTAGTACTACCTCAGAGTTTCATTCATAAGAGTTTGCCGTGTGCAAAAACTATTAAACCATTGGTCAGGGAAAGCTTTAATTAATTATTCATGTGCCAAAGTTGAAAGTTTAAACTAAGTCGACCCTAAACAGTATTTTAGTGATAAGGCGATGCGTTGCCTTATATAAAGTATATAGTCATTGCGCATGACGCGATCAGCGGAATGAGGTCACAAGATGTGGAGGTTTCGTCCATAGTAAAAAATACCAAACGAACTCACACTTTAAAAATTCATAGCTCAAAAAGTACTTAAGCTAAAAAGTTGATTCTGGTTTCATTTTTTTATTTGAAATTAGCTCTAACTAACTGTGCTATTAAAAAAATTATTTCAATTTTTTAAAAATTTTGTATCCAAGTGCCTACACATGTAGATCAATATATTCCCTAGGGCTCTAATAAAAATGAAAAGGATATTATATAAAAATTATTCATTATTATTAGTAGGCACTTGGATGAATATTTCAAAACCTTTTTAACAAAAATACTACAGCCGCAACAGCTTATTGGATTTGAAAAAGCTTCAAATTCAATAATTATTAAGTTATAGTTAGTCTTGCTCGTCACTAGTCTTAGTCTTAGTATATTAGAAGTGGACCTCGGAACAAAACTAACAAAACAAATGGCTAAACACGAAAATGGGTGGAATATGTGGAAACACTTTTCACATAATTATATGTTAATTTGGTAGTCAACTAACCCTCACTGCTGTTATTCTGCTGCTTTCGAACAGCTCGCTTGCGATTAACTTTCTTGAATGAAAACAATGGTTTAGAATCAGAATCGGCCATTTTGAAATGAAGCTCCTTATTTCTCTAGTGGTTGGTTCGCTGATTTGATTTTATCGTAAACTATCAATGCGCCGGCCGTCCATAGGTGGGATATTATCAACAAAGTATAATTATTTTTACGATTTACGTTAAATTTCATAAATAACGTAATTCACCCCAACCCCTACTTGAAGCTATACAAAATAAAATCATTTTCAAAATCAAAGTAACAATGACCAAAATTAGGGATCCCCATCCAGAAGATACAATTTAAACAAGTATTCTACTAATACAGTGGTTCTCAACCTTCCTAACGTCGAGCCCCTTTAAAGCACATTATTCAATTATTAAAAACATTAATGTGCAGTTAATCGCTGCAATGACTTAAAATATAATTCTTTCAAGGGATCAAGATTATTATTTTTATCTGTTTAAAAAAAGGGGGGGGGGTGAGGAGATGAAACATTTAAAGAAATGTGTTTATTATTGTCACTAATCGTATTAACTGGGCATTAGAAATGCATGTATAATTATAGACGAGTGGGGCAACATAGCTGGCAGAAGAGTGGAGGCAGTATAGCTGGTAGAAGAGTGGAGGCAATATAGTTGGTAGAAGAGTGGGGGAAACATGCCTGGTAGCAGAGTGGGGGAAACATAGCTGGTAGAAGAGTTGAGATCAAAATTAATGTTTAAAAGTACAAGTTGGTTATAAATTTTTTATTATTTTTAAAAATTCATTGATAACAATTTTTGGAGCTTGGGGCAGTATGAAATTTTACCAGCTCCACTTCAGCAGCGGGCAAAAAATCTCTGCTCCAGAGCAGTAAGATCTGCTCTAAAACTCTGCTCATGCAGGGAACCCTTTTCGTTGGACTCGATCTTCGGGTTTGAACTCAAAGTTTTCCTTCTCCTAGATGTTGCCATCCAAGTCTAACGAGTCCCGTCCATCCCTTAGTACTGTTGATATTTGCTTGTCTAGGTCTTGGTTGGGATTGAACCCAAGACCACCAGCCGGAGCAGTATTTAAATGTGTCATGAAAAGGTAAGATTTATAATTAGATGTTCTTGATGGCAATCCAGTGATTAAATGATTAAATGATTAAATGATTAAATGATTAAATGATTAAATGATTAAATGATTAAATGATTAAATGATTAAATGATTAAATGATTAAATGATTAAATGATTAAATGATTAAATGATTAAATGATTAAATGATTAAATGATTAAATGATTAAATGATTAAATGATTAAATGATTAAATGATTAAATGATTAAATGATTAAATGATTAAATGATTAAATGATTAAATGATTAAATGATTAAATGATTAAATGATTAAATGATTAAATGATTAAATGATTAAATGATTAAATGATTAAATGATTAAATGATTAAATGATTAAATGATTAAATGATTAAATGATTAAATGATTAAATGATTAAATGATTAAATGATTAAATGATTAAATGATTAAATGATTAAATGATTAAATGATTAAATGATTAAATGATTAAATGATTAAATGATTAAATGATTAAATGATTAAATGATTAAATGATTAAATGATTAAATGATTAAATGATTAAATGATTAAATGATTAAATGATTAAATGATTAAATGATTAAATGATTAAATGATTAAATGATTAAATGATTAAATGATTAAATGATTAAATGATTAGATTCCGAAACGATTATTATTTTTTTTTTAAACATGATTTATTTATCATTACATCATTTCTCGCTTTGCAGTTTGTCTTGCTTAGATAACCTACTTTGTGCAGAAACATTGATTTTTAATGGTTAGTGCCCATGCTGTGGTTATCATGTCTAATAGGTTGCTGCACTGATTAACGTTTGATATTCCATAAAACCCATGAACAATAAGCCGATCTATCGCACTAAAAGGGGAATAACTAGGAAAAAAAACATTTGGGGGAAAAAAAAAGGGGGGGGGGTCCAATTAGTGGAGGAAATAATGGAACAAGATCTGTTTAGACCTGAAATGAAGAGAATTTTTTTTTTTTTTTACGAAATGAGAAAATTTGATGAATATGGGATTTGAAGAATACAGGGAAGGTTGGGGTGGTGGCGGCGCACACAGAGGTTGCTTTAAATACCGAGAGCTCAGTGACCTTACAGAAATCCTCGCTAAAATCATAAAGAGAAAAAAAAAAAGAAGCAGATTTCCGTTCAGCCAATCTTCATTGCGTGGTTCTTTTCAGTCGAAACAAAACTGGCTTATCCACTGAACAACAAGAAGCGCGTGAGGCTGACATTAGTTTTCCCATGGGTAGAGCTTAGTGGCGTCAAAGTTTCATTGAAACAACACGTGTCACGGGTTTAATTTTCTTCCTAAAAAAAAAAAAATTGTCCTCGGTTTCTAAAACTCTTAATACATATTTTGTTTCAAGCATTTTATAGTTTAGTATTTAAAATCTTTTTTGGATATATTATTTTTTTAATTAGACTAACAGTTTCACATTACAATGTCTTTAAAGAGAACTTGGTTGGAGAAAAATCCCCATTTGAGCTTGTTATAAAATGAACCAATAAGTACTTCACTATGTTAGACTCTCCATAATTAAGACTTATTTGTGAATTGTACCGATGTGAATGCTACCGAAATGTTCCAAGTGTTGCTGTTGTCGAGGTCCAAAGTAATGATGTACATATTTTTCCGAGCGCCTTTGTTCTTGTGTAGCGGTGACTACGGATTTGTTGAGATTTTTTGTCCCCCCCCCCCCATCTCCATTCACAACGTATACGTAAGCTCTACTCCTCCAGTGCCACATCCCCCAGGGACGTACTTACACGTGACCGTAACGCGTACCGAAATGTTCCAAGGGTTGCTGTTGTCGAGGTCCAAAGTAATGATGTACATATTTTTCCGAGCGCCTTTGTTCTTGTGTAGCGGTGACCACGGATTTGTTGAGATTTTTTGCCCCCCCCCCCCCATCTCCATTCACAACGTATACGTAAGCTCTACTCCTCCAGTGCCACATCCCCCAGGGACGTACTTACACGTGACCGTAACGCGTGTGACTCCCAGAGCATCTTCTCTTGTCTCCTTAATTAACTTCTTTTCTCTTTCGACATTGGCATCACATTGAAACGTTTCATTCACTTTTTTGAGACGGAGCCATTACTCTTTCAATGGCACGGCCCCGGCAGCTACATTTACAGTACAGGCCTGCCGCATCTGCTGGGCTGTGCCGTAAATTATAATAATACATTCAGTACCTCATCTTTTATATTTAACATCTTAAAGTTAAAGTTTAACACACCCCATATGACGTTCGTCTTTCGCTCGCTATATAGATGTTGATCTCCAAATGTTCATCACGCAACACCCAACATCATTCTTTCGTATTATAGTTGATCCTAATTTTTTTTTTTTTTTTTTTTCTAACAGTTTCTTTTTTTCTTCACACCATCTCCCATTTATCATTACCGCCCCCTGCCCGTTTACATTGGTTTCACATCATATCCACATTGCAATTGTGGTGCAGGGGCGCAGAAAAGGCGAATTGTGGTTTAAATAAACATTGTGGCGGGGGTGGGGGGAGAGGATGGTCATGTTAGACAAATTTAATTAAACATTAAAGTTAAATTTTTATTTATTTTTATTTTATTTTATTTTTTCTTGAAATATTCAAATTTATATTTAGAAAGAAAGAAAAACTCAAACAAACAGTTTGTGGGTGTGGAAGAAAAAAAATATATAGAAAAAAGAAAAAGGCAAAAAAAAAAAAAAAAAAACAAAAAAAAAGGTTGTGGGGGAAGAAAAAAAAAATTTTATTGAAAAAATAAAAAAGAAAAAAAAAAAAAAAAAAAAAAATGTGCTCGATTTCTATTTACATGGGGAATGCATCGAAATACACAAAATATGACAAATGCCATGAAAAGTTGCTGAAAATTTAAAATTAAAGAATAACAAGGTATCGTATTTGCATGTATAAACGTACACTGTCCCGGTGTATATGTAAAAAAAGTAAAACAAATAAAACAGTAGCATCATGTCTTGTCTTTAAGAACCAATTGCCCAAAACAGAGTACATTTATTGCAGTAAAATTGCTGCTGTTTTTTTAAACACCTCGACCAAAACCATTTTTAAAAAAAATGTTTTCAACCAACCGGTTTTTAAGCTATTTCCACCTCAAATATTGCGCATTATTAATTCCCTATTCGTTCCCCCGCTTAGACGCAACCGTGGGATTTAGTTGATTTATTAAAAAAAACAAACAAACAATGGCTCTTAATTAAAAAAAAAACAACTAAAAAGAAACAACATTTTATGCGAACAACCATTTTTAAAAAAAATGTAAGATAGTTTTAGCAAGAATTATCATTTGAATCTTCCTCGGTGAGTATTTGGTGTTTTTTTGTTTGTTTTTTTGTTTGTTTTTTTTTTTGAGGGAGAAAGAGTTAATTTCCGAACTATTTTTTTTAATCTTTTCAATGCCGACGCTAGGAAAATGTAAGTAAAGGCATAAAGAAATCTGGCCGTTTAACATTTACTGTCTCGTCGTTAAAGTCAGCAACATTAAATGTTGATCAAATCATCTGCTCCTGCGCAACGTGGTTACATTAAAGGGCGGGCACAGAGACGGGTTCCACCCCTTATTCTGGAAGACGCGAACTCACTAGTGGTCTTAGGCGACCCCTGTGTAATAAGGTTCGTTCGACCCCGAGGTTGAGAACCGCCGGCCTAATTGCATTTCTAGACAATGGGTGTGGAGGAACAAACGTAAGAAGTCAGTGTTACAGAGATCAATTTAGATAAAATACATTGAAACATCAGTGGTTGAGAACCGTTGGCGTAATGGTATTTCTAGACAATGGGTGTGGAGAGGAAAAAACTGTTGGAAGAAATTTTTATTTTTATCTCCAAGTTAAATGATGCATTTAACTAATTTTTAGTTTATCCCAAATGCAGTGGTTCCCGACCTTCTTCATGCCACGACCCTCTAATACAGTTCCTCATGTTGTGGTGACCCCAAACCATGAAATTATTTTCGTTGCTACTTCAAAAATGTGTGTT